CTGGGGCTGCGCCCATGGAGAGGGGGTGTGTGCTGTGCCATGCCCAGCACCGTGTCTGTGTGGCTGCGCCGTGGCCTCCGTGCGGCTATGCAGGTCCTGCAGCGTGCCGGGGCATCCCTGTCTCCATCTTGTCACTCACTTTCCCTCTGCAGATGCGGGGCCGAGGCAGAAGCCGGTGAGCTCTCCCCATGGTGAGACCCTCACAGGGACTGAGGTGGGGGGGATGGGGACAGGGCCAGGCCATGGGGTGCCGTGGGGCAGAGGAGGCACCTCCTGGGGATAGATGGGGATGCAGATGGGGGGATTCACACCTCGGGGCCCCCCCCAGGCCATCCCTGTCTCCCTGCCTACGGGGGCCGGGGCGGGGGTCCTGGGGTCACCACTGTGCGGTGCTGAGGCCAGTTTCCCACACAGGTCAACACTGAGCTGGTGCCATGGGGCACCTGGTGGCTCATCGCTGTCCCTTGCACCCCTCGGCGAGTTCCAGCCCTGCTGCTGTAATTCCCAAAATGCTGGAGCTGCCCCTCTCCAATATTAAACTGTGTGTGAGGACATCGTCTCCGGTGTGGTGTGTGGGGTGGGCACTGGGGCTTCCCCACACACGGCTCCACACCAGCTCCATGGGGTCCGGCCCGGGAGCAGCCCCTGCCCCACTGAGCTGGGCCCCAGCCCCACCATGCCAGCGGTGCCCCCCAGGACCCCACGTGCGGGACTGCGTCCCCAGGGAGCCCCAGCACAGCTCAGCTCCGGCAGCTCAGGGCAGGACTGTGGCTGGGAGCTTCGCACCTCGGACCCTGCGAGTGGAGCTCTGCCCCCCTGTCTGCAGCCCCTGCCTGAGAGTGAGGAACCGCATCCAGCCACCCCCAGCCTTGCCAGCCCCCGCGCTGGGCTGGACGCCGTCTCTGCAGCACCATCCCCTGGGTGCACCGAACAAACAGTGCTGGGATGAGCTGGCTGAGTACACAGCCAGGAGCGGCACAATCAGCGCCAGGTCGGGGCCCACACCCCCTGCCCCGCCAGCTGGGCCCCCTGGGAGGGCTGCAGCAGCGTTGGCTGCGTCACCCG